CATTCTAGCTGCTAAAATGTCAAAATGTGCTTCTTGGCGAACATCTTTACCATTTATGGACACAATTTCTGAACAAGTTTTATGAAAACGCCTTAACTAAAAGGACAATCGAAAGCATGTTCAGCCAGAAAAGCTAAATGACACCAGAGCCGTTTGTCTGCTCTGCATTCTTGGAGGTATTGATCTGTAGGCTTCACTGTCTGGTGTCAAGATTTCTTTGTTTTGCGCTTGGAGCTAATGAGGAAGGCATGGCACGCTGAACGGCGACATAGGTTGCAGGGTATTTGGTCGGACTTGGCATCTCGGCTGTTCCTAACACAGGATGGTATCGGAGGCTCTTGGAATCTGCAGGGTATGTGTATGTACTGGTGCTTTCTGTGAAAAACAGGTTCATTATTCTCTTCACAGGGAGAAAATAGATATGGTGCTCAGTTATACCTCTCTTGTTGTTTGGTGTTCCTTAAAGGCATTGCTTTGAGGACTGCGGGGTTTGAATTTGGAGGAGGTGTAGCACAGTCCTAAGCAAGTTTACTCTGAAATGGGTCCTGCTGTACTCCGTGGGCTTATTCCCAGTTAGTTATGCATGGGAATATAGCAGTAGGTTAAATTTTAATGGATTAATCCTTAGGCTCCTATGATTATCCAAGGTTTTAAATAAACAGTTCAAGGTAGTTCTGCCACGTGCCTGTGTACTGAAATGTTTGCAAGTTAGTATAAAAACAGGGTCTTCCCACTGAGTTTAGTTTCTTTTGTAGAGGGAAAGTCAAGTAGTGAATAAAACACTCAGATAGTGATAATTATACCTTATTTATAAAACATTCCGCCTTCATTATTATGCCACCAAGCTTTGAGCAGTCCTTATTGCACTTGGCAGCTGGAGATGCCAGTGCCACGTCCATCCCCTGAGAAACCCCAGGTATTCCCCTCTGCCATGAGGAATCCAGAGGCAAGAGAGAGGTGTTCAGAGGCCAGTGGTTGTGTGAAGGGCAGCCTGCTCTGCACCCCTTCTCAGTGCTAATTGCTGGCCAGAGCAGAGCCTGCAAGAAATTTCTAATATCATGCAGCGTGCAATCAAAACCTCCTTGGCACCTGTTTTCCCCTGCGGAGGAGGGCGGGACGCACTCCAACGGAGCCAGGCAGGGAACCAAGGTTCAATTTGGATGGCAGGAAGTACTTCCTGACAGTTAGGACCCCGAAGGTATGGAATGGGCTTCCATGGGAGATGGTTGAGGCCCTATCGGTGAGGGAGTTCAAGGCTAGACATGCATATGGTGGGCATGTCGTGAGCGGAGCTGGCTGGAGCCGGGGGTCAGACTAGATGGCCCAGGAAACCCCTTCTGACTCGCTCTGTTTCTATGTTTCTATAATGACAAAAAGTGTAGCCAATCATGATGGAACATTCCTCCCTATTCTGTCTTTCCTTTGAACAATATACGTGTATGAAGTTCAGCTTTGGATTAATGTATTTTCTGCAATGGTATCCACTTCCTTGTTTCTTTTACTACTACAAGTCTTTTCCTCAGTGTTTACTCAAAACAACTGGTGGTAGCGTGCTCATGATTTTCACAAGCAGTCATCTTGGGGACACTGTTTATCTGGAAATTTAAGTGCATTATGGGTGGAAGTAAAGCAAAGCAAGAATGAGCAGCAGTTGTGCTTGAAATCTACATATTCCTTGAGCAGAGCACTGAGGCATGCTCTGGAAGAGAGGACAACAGCCCAGTCAATAGATTTTGAGAAGATGTGGGTGATAACTTCAGGACGAAACTGAGCAGAAGGGATTCTTTGCTTACTTATTTAAGAACACCGAAAGAATCTTCTCACTGCTATTTAGAGAGGAAGGCATAGTCACCAATAACATTCAGCAAGAATGTTTAATAACACAAAGGTAAACATAATGAAATGAGACTTTTTGGCTAGCAGTCTTGTCTAGACAGTTGCACTTCATTCCAGGACGTCGTTCTGCAGCTGTGCAAGATTAACTGGTAAAAGTGGGTGACATGATCTTGCAGTTCCGAAGGGATTGTCAAGTGTGTTGGCACAATGTAAAAGCACGAGAGGCAGTTTAAAATCGAGGTGTGGGAATCCTGTTTGATCATAAACATGGGAAACTTTTGTGCTGCTAGGAGCCAGACTAGAGAAATATGGAGAAGGGCGTGCGCATATCAGTCAGAAAAGGGGACCCGTATTTTGCTGGTTTAGTTCTCCTCCTACCCGTGATCTTTCCAGGAAAGACTTACTCTAGAGATGCTGGTGCTCAAGCTTATCTGGAAGTCCTGTGCTTCAACAATCCAGAGACCAGTCACCATGCTCCAGATTTTAAGCATCAGTGTTATTGGGTGCCTCATTTTTATGCACCCCTAAAAGAGCGAGACATTCAGAGTCCATTGTCTTAAAAACGCCTTGGGCATAATTCTTGACGATTGGAAAAAAAGCTTGCTTTTGTGGTGGCGGTATTAAATGAAAAATTATATAGGTGCCGTTCAGACTTTTATAAACTGGTTTTATAATTCCCATGTTCAAATCATCCATCCAGTGGCAACAGTACAGCCAAAACTGCATTTGATGTTGTCTTCAGGGTTGCGGGTTCATATCTGCATGCACACATACTTTGGAAGTTCCCATTTCTTAGTATTCAGCCTGTTCCTTACGTTGCAAATTCTATGAAAACGCATAAGTAGAATATTTTTCTTAGAAAAGTGTGGTGGCAGAAAACTTGTGAACATTTTCTGCTCTATGTGACTGTGTAGGTGTTATCTTCTTCTATACTCATGTCATGAGGCTATGCAAAATCCCACTCCTTTAAGGGCTTCTTGGATGATCTGTAAACAGTTTGGAGTTCACTACCACTGGTCTATTCTCACCTCTCCTTTCTTTTGGCTTTTCCATTCTGCTGTGCCTTCCCCACATGGTTCAAGCACCGGGCAAGGCTGTGGTGGTGGCAGGATCAGAACAGTTTATTGTAAGCGTGCTGGGTTAGTGTGTTGTGCAAACCCACAATGGGAGTGTTAGGATAGCTTAAGTGAGGGCACTAAGTCACCTTGAGTTGCAACTGGTTTCTGGTGTCATCCATACCTGGATGAAATGACCCATAAAAAGTGAGTCCCCCCTCCCCGCAGTTCTTGCCTAGTGGCTAGCGTGTGGCTACAGTGCCAGCCGTCCTGGGAGTCCCCATGTGGTACTTGGGGCAGTCAGGAAGCCTTCCCACTCCTGCCGTGAGCTGTGTTGTGCTTGCCATGGCTTAATTTTCTTTATTTCTTTTGTTTCGATTTCAGAAGCCATTTCTCAAGCATCCCCAGGCGAGGCCCACCAGTGGTGCCTTGATGGGGCTGCCTGGGGTAGTGAAACTTTGCTTCCTTGTTTTTTCTCCCTAAATTATTTTCCACAAATATTTGCAAAAATATATTTGTATTGTCATGTGTGCCCAACTGTGGCAGTCACTGGCATGTGTGTGTGGGGACCCTGGGGTGGGAAATGGGTGGAGATCGCTGCTGGGAGAGCCCACCATATACTCATTCTTCCACTGTCCCCCGCCAACCGCAGACTGTCAGGGTGCTGGCCATAAGGAATACTCCATATGCAAATATTTTAAGGATATTCCATCTGGAAAGGTCAATTAGAAAAGTGTGCAACTGACAAAATGTATTGAAGCAGGGAAGTGCAAAGCTTGTAACAATGAAACATTGTAAATTAACTACGCTTAGTAGTCAGATCTGCACCATTGTTCAGGAAACATGAAAAGTTTTCCTAAATGTAACCCAAATGCTTCAGTTTCCACATGCAACTCTTAAAGTTTGCAAGCCCTGATGTCCAGAGTTTGGCCTTTCCTGCAGTTGTGCATTGTTATGAATTTAACTGCCAATTCTATATTCCTCTCAATTAGTTTTAAGATTAGGGTATCTTGTGAACTGATATTAGAGTATCACCCCACTCTAGGTTTCTGTCACAAAAGTAAGATGCTGCTTCTGGTAATTAGATGCTCACATGAACTCTTTATATAAGTTGATACAGCAAGACTAGTGTAATTTTCCACCCGTCTGCTTAGTAATAATGAGTAAATTGTTACTCTCTTGTTTCCATGGCTTTTCATGGAAAACAATGATTCTGTGCAGGCAGTGAAGTCTAGGAGCTGCTTGAGCTGCCTGCAATTTTAATCACCAATTGAGCTGAAATACGCTTTAGTAGCCCTCATACCTTTTAGCGTTCAGTATTGAAAGATGGTACTTCATTTCATGAAAGCGAAGAATCAGGTTAGCATGTTATTTCACATATTTATTATTTTTGTCCAATTTTGTTCCTTTGGCTAAGTATAGATAAGTCTTTCATTGCAGTTACTACTTCTAAAATTTAAAGAAGTAACCAAAGGCTAATGGCAGAATCCAATACTGTCCTTGTGTCTCTGCTGACTCTGTTGTGCTAGCAGGAGTCATTGCCAGCACAGGGGGAAACCGGTGCTTCCTAACATGAGTGGGAATGAGCCTAAATGCTAGATTCTGGAGTGGACCGTTCTGAGCGGCTCCTTTGTGCTGGCATCACAACCGATTCTGTTTCAGAAACAAGAGTTTGGGCTCATTTCTGGTGCCTTAGTTCCCCAGTTTTTTGTTTTATGGCTGGTGTGTCCAGCTGGCTCGCAGTCACGAGTGGATACTGCCAAAGTAAGTTAGGATCAAGAAAAGAAAGTTGGAGATGGTAAAGTTGACAACACTATTGAGGAACCCACAAAAATTTGAAGTACTCTGAACATTTGGAATCCAGTTATTCAATTCATTAAATGGAAGAATTAGTGGTAGCAAATTACTGTCTCACATTGTGAGTAATATCAAGACTGGGAATGAATGTTTAATGTTTTCTAATATTCATCAGAACAAAATATATGTATGGAAGTTTATATTTTGTTCGGATGAATATTGGAGATTTTCATGACAATTAGATATGTTACTGTTGCCAGCTCCATCCTTTAAACATTCTTAATATTTGCTTTTTTTTTTTTTTTTTTGCAGAGGCGTCTTCGTCACCTGCGAAACATTGCAGCAAGGAACATTATTAATAGGAATGGTTTTCGCCTCCTGGACACCTACTTTACCCTTCACTTATGTGATAATACAAAGATATGTAAAGGTACCCAAACAGCTGTCTTTTTTTCCTTCTCTTCCTCAGCACCAATAATTCAGCTTCTTTTATCAGGGTCTATGCAAAAAGTGCCTTGCTCCATCTCACTTGTACGGGGGGATTAAGAGTTAGCGTAAGAAAAGCTGTGCTTGATCAGAGGACTGGTCCATCCAATCCTACACTCTGCCCACGTAGTGGTAGACTGGCTGCCCGCATTTTTAAAAAAAAATGTTTTAATAATAATAAATAAATAATAAAATAAATCCCTCAAGCAGGATGGGTGCAAGAGTCCCACCTGCCCAAGCTCTTCAGCAACTGGTGTCTGCAGGCAAAGCACCTCTGATAATGGAGGCAGCCTGTGACCAGCAAAACTAGTAGCCACTGATCGCTTCCTCCTTAATGAATTTGTCCGTTTCCCTTTGAAAGTCATCTGAATTGGCCATCGCCACTTCCTGTGGCGGTGGATTCCTTAAAAGGTTATGTTCTTTGAAGAACTTCCTTTTACTTGTCCTAAACCTCCCTCCAGTTAGCTTCATGGGATGATCCCAGATTTGAGTGTTCTGGTTCATATTAATTTAAACCTCTATCATGTTTTCCCTTACTCTCCTTTTTTCACCTAAATAGTTCTAGTTGTTGTAGCTTCTCCTCATAGGGCCGTTGCTCCAGCTCCTTGATAATTTTTGTTGCCCTTCTCTTTACTTTTTCCAACTCAGCGATATCCTTTTTCAGGTAAGGTGACCAGAACCGCATACAGTATTTTAAGTACAGTAATGTTAGGGATTTGTGTAAGGGGAGGTAGGATCTGGGCAATTCCGTTTTCTGTCTGTTCCTAATGATGCCTAGCATGGAGTTTGCCTTCTTCACAGCAGCCGAGCACTGTGCTGACATTTTCATCAAGGTGCCCCCCCCCCGCCCACAAAAGATTCTTCATCTACTCTTGAAGTTGAGATTTTTGGCTGCAATAGCATTACTTTACATTGTGCTTACAAAAAACTGCATTTGCCGTTTGGATGCCCATTCTCTAGCTTGGAGGGATTCCTTTGGATCATCTCACAATCCCTTTTGGTTTTAACCACCCCAAATAGTTTAATGTCAACAGCAAACTTGGCCGCTTCACTGCTTACGGCTTCCTCCAGATCATTTATGAATAGGCTGAAAAGCATTGGTCCTAATACACAACCCTGTGGGACCCAACTGGTCACATCCCTTTATTGGGAGAAATTGGCATCCATTCCCACTCTCTGTCTTCTGTTCTTCAACCGGTTTGTGATCCATACGAAGACATCGTCCCCATTTTATTCCATGATTTCTGACTTTTCTCAGGAGCAAACTGAGTTAGGCTGGAATGCATTAGTGAGCTTGTCTGCGAGTCACAACAGACCACCACTGGCTAATTTACCCATGGAGGCCGTCGCGTCATGCTGGGTGCCCGTGTATGACATCGTTACCGCCTGCCTGCCTGTGGGCACCTGCCCAGTGGTGCCTTGGTGTTTCATGCAAAACCGGGCGACTGGAGTTGATGGATGGTTAAATAACCTCAATCCTAACACAAGCCATTAATTATTTGAGGGTTATCTAACCCCCTGAAACAACCCCTACTTGCTTGTGTTCCCATGATGCAACACGCCACAGCAACCAGGTACCGTGCAAAAACGGCACCTGTGTCCCTTAGCCCAGTGCAGCAACCCCCTGTCAGTGCAGTCTGTCATGTACTGCAACCCAGGACAGTGTTGTAGGCACACATCTGCTGAAAAGAAGAGCAGCTTCTTTTTCTTCTTTGTCATAAAGTCTAGAGATGCAGATCACTTAACATGGATTGTACTGTGGTTGCCCTTCACAAGCAGCAAGCAGTGAAGTGATTCATAGAAACATAGCAACAGAGCAAGTCAGAAGGGGTCTCCCGGGCCATCTAGTCTGACCCCCGGCTCTAGCCGGCTCCGCTCACAACATGCCCACCATGTGCATGTCCAGCCTGTCCTTGAACACCCGCACCGATGGGGCCTCTACGACCTCCCGTGGGAGCCCATTCCATACCTTTGGGGTCCTGACTGTCAGGAAGTGCTTCCTGGCATCCAAATTGAACCTTGGCTCCCTGAGCTTTGCTCTGTTGGAGCACATCCTGCCTTCCCCTGCAGGGGAGAACAGGTCTCTACCCACCTCCGTATGACACCCCCTCACACACCTGAATGTCGCCAACAGATCCCCTCTGAGTCTCCTCTTTTCCAGGCTGAAGAGACCCAGTTCCCTCAGTCTCTCGCCTCATACGGCATTCCCTGCAAACCGGCCACCATCCTTGTGGCCCTACGCTGCACTGACTCCAACCTGGCTATATCCTTTCTGTAACGAGGGGCCCAAAACTGAGCACAATACTCCAGTTGCAAATTACAGCCGGAAAACAGCAACATAGGGGAAGGTGGAGTTTTGGGGTTGCTGGGGATTTAAAAAAAAAATTTTACAGACGTGCAGCCCACTCAGTTACTTGTAGCAGAGCTGGAATTTGAACTTTGGCTTTGGGCTCACGTGATCAAGTCCAGCATAAAGGAAAGCAAATGATTCTCCCTTGGTGCTGGATCCCACTGCAAGTACCACATCTGTTTCCAAGCCAATAGTGAATGCTCTCAGTACTATGAGGCATTTTTAGAGAGATCCATAATTTAAAAAGAAGAGATACTTACATATTAAAAAAACACATTTAAATTTTGTGAATTAGTCAGAATTGTGCAAAATGGATTTATTTGCAAGTTTTCACATGGTTATCATTTGGGGTGCTTTTTCCCCTCAAATCAGAATTTGGATTTATTTATTTATTTATTTGGAACATTTCTATGCTCTAAATTGATTCTGTGAGTGAGTTTAGTGTCCGAGCCTGAAGGATCAGGAAAACCAAAAGCAAGAGGCTGATAGTTGTACAAACAGGTTGCACTCTGGGCATAATAAATGAGCTTGTTTTAAGGTGCATGATACATTTTTAGAATTTTCTCTATCACAAAACCTGAGATTCTCTGGTTTCAGCACTAGCTGTCTGTCATGCCTACTGTAATCAGTTTCCTGATCCCAGAACATTCTTACTCTGAGAGTTGTCATCTAAGGCATTTGCAGGGCAGAAGTAATAGCTGCAAAAGGATTAAGAAAATATAGATGTCTGCTTAGTATAGTGGATCTTTTCCAACTTCTATTTGAGTTATGACCCATTTCCCTCTCTATATGGTTAGTAGACAAAAGTTTGTGATACACTTCTAGGCAGCTCTAACTGGCTTTTCTAGCTACAGCAAACGGAAGGAATTTATGCCATGCCACCCCTTTGCCTCTGACTTGTCCCCAGAGTATGCACAACCTATCTTAATATTTTTCTAAGATGCTTATCTCCATAGTAACTAAGCTTTGGGCAGCAGTTAAGAACGTGGAACATAACCTCACTGCTTGGGTTCAGGGACAGTCCTCCTGGGTGTGCAGTGGCCCACGTGTCCCCTTCTGCACCTTTCAGTCGCCCGGTTCTTCAAACTGAGCAGTTGAAAGATCAGCAGTGCCAGCAGCATGAAAGTCTAAAGTGGTAACCCTGGCTGTTGCCTGGCCCTCTAATGAGAATGGAGTGGCTTCTCCTTGTGTAGTCCTTTGTTCAGTGTGGGTGGACCTGCTTCGTTTCCTGCAAAAGAGATGCTGTTGACACTTCGAGAAGCTGGGCAGTCAGAGGAGAAGGCTTGGGAAAACCAGGCGCCCGTCCTCAGAATGCACTGTTTCATGGCATTTACTACATGTGTAAATACTACCTCTCTTTCCCCCCATCCTCTGACTGGGCATCGAGAATATTCACCACTTACACCAGCCTTCCCCACCTGGTGCCTTCAGTGACAACTCCCAGAATTCATGCCCAGTGGCCGTGCTAGCTAGGGCTGATGGCAGTTGAAGTCCAATATATTTAGGGGCACCAAGTTGGGGAAGGCTGCCCTACGCAAAGAGGATATTAATTTGCTCAGAAAAATGTGGGTGAAATTATGCAGCTGTCTGTGCGTACTTTGCCTGGTGGTGCGTCACCTGCATGTTTTCGTTTTAAACTGTATTTTCCCCATAATTTGCAGCTTTTCTTCAAGTACATATGTGGGGGATTAGTATGCAATGGGCCAAATTCCATCCTGACAGTGTAGTGACTGTAAGTCATGGTTTCTTACAGAGCAATTCCATGCATGGTTCCTCAGAAGTAAGTCTCACTTTATTAAAAGGAATTATGCATTGAATTGCATCCTTACACTGCAGCCTTGTACGTGTCTCTTTGGAAGTAAGACCTGTTAAGTTCAGTGGGTCTTACTTCCAGGTAAGCATGTGCAGAATGGCAGACTTAGCCTTTTTTATTTTGTAGATGGGGGAACAGCAAGTGGGGGGAAAGTGTTGGTCTGAGTTCCTAACAGTTAAGGAATTTAGTGATTTACTAAATGTACCAGAAGTAGAAGACCATTATTGCTGGAGGCCACTGCCCTCTTTTTTGAACGAAAGCCATGCAATTATTTTGCTGTGACTTTTAAGCTTACAATTCAGTAGAGCCCAAATAAACTTAATACCAATGTCTTAATATACTGCGTATGTCTAATACTGAATGGAAAACCCAGCTCTTCACAGTTTTGAAATGCATTTTTGTAAAGCTGGCTGTCACTAAGGAAGCTGTTACCCGTTTTCCACCCACACTAAATGTGATCACACAGGTTTGCCTGCTGGATTGTGCTCACTTGCCAGGCTGCTGCTGCTGCATTTTTGTTTTGGTGGTGTTCCAATGTGACAGAGATGTGGCTTTCTTAGGCTCCTACAAACTGGGAAGCCTTTTCTGTGTTCTTCAGACCTTGACATCAGCAATGCCTGGGACAAGAACATTAAATGTTGAGTGTCATGTTTGCTTAGGGAAAAAGATTATTACTTTTCTTTAAGTCCACCTGGTAAGTTATAGAATGTGGTCAAATAATTGTATCTAAACAGTGCTGTAATTCTGTGGGCAGCATTCATTAATGGAAAAACTGCCATTCCTATTTTACAGTCAGGAAATAAGGCTCAGATACTTGTCCAGAGCAAAGAGGCTGCAGGGAAGGAAGAGCGTGGAAATGCCCACTTGGTCGCCTGATGGGATTGTGGTGGAACAGCCTTCCCCAGCCTGATGCCCTCTATACGTTTTAGACCACAACTCCCAGGATTCCTGGCAATTGGCTATGCTTTCTGGGACTGATAGGAAATGAAGTCTAAAAAACATCTGGAGGCACTCAGTTTTGGGAGGCTGGGCTAGTATCTACTGTTGGCTCACTTTCAAATTGATTCCTTTCCATATAGATTGTTTATAATTGTTTTGAGCTAAGCTAACATTCCTGAATAAACTTTAATCTTTTGTGCAAATATGAGAATTCTTTCCCATAGCATAAAATCCAGTGCTCTATCCCAAACTTGTGCAGTCCACCCCTAATTCTTTCATTTTATTTCCTTTCTTAGAATTTTATAAGAGTGAAGTGATAAAGAATTCTCTGGTAAGTTGACTTCATGAATAGGCTTAAAAAAGCTTTCCTCTTAATCTCTTCTCCAACGTGTCTAGATATTTTACCGAAACATTGTTCTGTCCAAAACTTAAGAGTGTTTCCATTTGACTCGATATGTAAGTTGGCAAGCAGTGTGCATTGCTGCATTAAACTGGAGACTGGGAATATTTTCTTAGGAGTTTACTTTTAAGAGTTGTAGAACATCGTTATGATCTGCTTACCCGAGATAAAGCAGGGTCTTCTTTCAAGCTTCCTGCAGTTCTCAGAAAATGGTGGTGTTCTGTTCAGAGGCTTGGCTCTATTAGAATCAAAGGTGGGAGCCTGAGGCTTTCCTGGTGCAGTTGGGCTCTGCTTTCCAGCCTGCTTGCCCAGTGGTCAGGGATGATGGGACTTGTACTCTATTAACATCTGGAGGGCAACAAATCCCACTGCTTCCTTAGATGCAGCTGTGCTTCTGCACATGCTGTGCTTGCCCAACTCCTTGGATTAAGGTTGGTTCTTCAGAAGCTTTTCTAAGCAGATACTCCAAAAAAAAGAAAAAAGAAAAAAAAAACCTCCCTTGGAGGAGAGTCCACAACTTCCCTGACACTGTATGATTTTGGTTGGTTATCCTACCCATGCAAATGGCTTGCCATGGGGCAGGCTGGTATATTTCTGATTGGTGGATTATTTAATGGATCTATGCGCAGGATTTGCCTGCATGTTATTTATTGTACTTTTAAACCAAGAACGCAAGAAAAGCCCTGCTGGCTCAGGCCCTAGTCCACACACAGTGGCAGACCAGCTGCCCACAGGATCCCCCTAGCAGGAGGGGAGCAAGGCCTCCCCCTGCCCAGCTTCTCAGCGCCTGTGGTGTGTGCCGCATGTAAAGGAGGAAGCACACAGCCAGCACGATTCTTCGTCACAGGCAGTCTCCTCCTTTATGGATGTGTCCAGTCCCCTTTTAAATTCATCCAGATTGGTGCCCAACACGACTTCCTATGGCAGGGAATCCCACACGGTAGCCAAGCTGCCCAGTAACTGAAGTTCTCAGGCTGTAGGAAACCCGCAGGTTTCGTGTAGGAGAGGAGGGTGCCTGAGCAGAGATGTTCATATCCAGATAGGTACTTGATGCATTTGGATGGCAGAATGACGAGCCATAAGATGCCGCCAACATGGCCAGTGGTGAGGTGCTATGAGAGCTGTAGCCAAGAGATATGGAGGGTACCACTCTGCCTACTCCTGGATTATATTGTGATGCTGCAAGGTGGTAGAAAGGTCGGCCAATCCTTAGCTGGTCTAATTTGCTGTCTGTGTTTGTGCTTGAGATCACGTTGCTCTTTGTTGCTGTTTTTTCAGTTGGACTACCTGACTCAATAGTGTTGGTATAAGGCAGCTTAATGCACAGTCAGGTAATACCTTGGGCATTTTTGGTGTCCTGCATCTGTCTCTTGTTCCACATTAACAGAATCCAACATGGCGAAGTCTCGACTTTGGCCTGATGCCGGATCGCCTTGATACATCCGTGTCCTGCTTTGTGGTGAGGATCTGGGGTGGCAAGAATGATACCTACCAGCTCCTGATTGAATGGAATGTCAACTTAGATGGACTCAAGTATTTGGGCCAGCAGGTAAAGTGCTCATGCTGCTTGACCTTGGATTTTCAGCAAATTCCTGTTCTTAGAATACCTTACGGACTGGTTTTGTGAACTTCCAGTGCTATGATGGGCAACAGCTGAGGTTGGCCACCTGCCCATTGATGAGGAGTTGTTTTACTTATTCAGTCACCTTATATTTTGACACATTCCAGAGAATAACTTTGTTTGCTGCAATAGATGATGAAGGTCCTTGCAGCATGTTAAAGACTTAACACATTTATTGCAGCATTACCTTTTGCTAGGTGGGCTTGGACCCCCAAAAGCTTGTTTACGGAAATTTTGTAAACCCAAAGCAATGTACACAGTAAAAGAAACAATGGCACAGTAAAGATTAATAAAAACCTGAAATAGCAGCAGCTATTTCCTTCAGGCTTTCCTGAAGGCCTGGGAAGAGGTGATGTGATGAATCCCCACTGTGAAAATGTAAGATACAGTAAACTTGTTAGCTGCATAAGATACACAAGGCTCTTTGCTGTGTTCTTGCCTGTGGGGAAGTTGGATCCTGTAAGTGACTCTAATAAGGATGAAATTCCTGCTTTTCCCTCCCCGCTGCAGTCGGACAAGTACTAAAGCTGAGCATTAAGGGGCAGTGGGAGCTCACTTTCTCCTACATTGTATGCTACCTTGCTGTTAATTGACTTAATTGAGTTATAATCAAGTTGATCAAACCTGTGGTATTGTTTAATTAACAGATACATGCTCGTAGCCCAAATGAAATCATTTTTGGGCTGAACGATGGCTATTACGGAGCCTCATATGAACAAAAGGTAAGGATGCGCATTGTATTGGCCACTCATGTTTTTAATGTGTGGCAGGGAAAGGATATTCAGGTGCTTTGAGTTAAGCAACATACCTGAATGTGGTGCTCTGAGTCCCTCTGGGGAAGCCACTGCAGTGACCTTTAAGATCCATGGTGGCTTGGTCCACAACTTGCGATGTTCCTGTCAGGCTCTTGGGAACACATGTCACGGCACAGAGCAGCTGACCGTTCCAAGCACGTGAACCTTGGCAGCAGCTTTGAGCAATAGCTCATAGAAGCTGAATATTTGTTTCCGGGGTAAAAAGTTGTCTTCTGTATAATAGCTGATAGGTAGTGCTAATGTACCAAATCTTGAAATTTCTAGCCCTTCCTCCTGACATGTGGACCTTGGCCATGATCACCACATATGGTGATTATGAAGGAAGAGCTAGTAGAATTTACTGCGTTCACAACTTTCCAGGCTAATAAGCAGATAATATTTTTCTGTTGGAAGATCCTGGTCTCACTTGTTCTCTGTTGAGCTTTCCTCAATGAAACAATAGATTTTGAGGCTCTTTACAGCTGCTAATTGGTTTGGTTTGTCCCTCACCTTTCCAACAAGAACAATGGCACTCAAAGCAGCTCACAATGATAAATAACCCTTAAGTAAAACAGTAATAAAATAAATGCATTCAAACCTAACAATAACTGATTAGAAACAATCTCCCACTCAAGGGATCCACACCTGCACTGAAGGACTGCATGAACAGAAAGGCAAAGGCTTTCCAGGGGAAGGTCAGCAGAGAGGACAAAGCCAGCCTGCCTCTGCAGGACTTCCGCAGCCCGAGAGTGGCCACTGAAGTGGCCCACCATTGTATTGCCCCCCCCCCCCCGCACGTGCCTCTGAAAGTGTCGGTCTCTGGGGAAGGCCAAAGATCCAGGCGAGCTCCCGTGGGAGAAGGCGGTCTTTCCGGTAGCCTGGTCCCAAGCCGCTTAGCACTATATATAACCAGCCCTTAGAAACAGGCTGGCAGCCAGGGAAGCTGCTGCAACCAGGGAGCCGTGGCCGCCTGCCCACAGCATCCTGGGCCAGCTGAAGCTTCTGAAGGCCCTTCAAAGGCAGCCTCTCACAAGCCAGACAGAAGGCGGCTAAGGCATGTGTGATCGTGGCCGGATCAGCCGTCTCTAGGAATGGGCGCAGGTGGCACCCCAGACTAGCCTGTGCAAATGCAGTCCTGCCTACTGGTGAAAGCTGGGCATCCAGGCTCAAGCCACTTCCGGAAGTACATCCAGAGTAAGCCCGTCCAGCATGGGTTGAACCTCAAGTTCCTGAGGTCTCTGTTGGCTAACCAAGAGCACCTCTTCTTGTTTGTTAAGCTCCACTTTGCTTGCCTTTGTCCATCCAGACAATGGTTCAGAGATAGAACGGCATCTGTAGACTTGGTTGGAAAGGGGAGAGCTGGCGCCATCCGCAAACTGGTGTATTGAACACCGCAATAACTGCATGGCTGCTCTGTACATGCACTTTTCCATTGCATTTGGGGCCTAAAAGAAAACAGAAGACCACGTGCACCTGTTAAGGTCTGGGTGGAAGGTGTGCCTGTCTGGAAACTATAATTAGAAATGGGCATGCCCAGTGGCTTGTGTCGCATCCAGTTGCAGGTACCTGGAAATGAATCTATAGTCTGTGGCAGGCCAGTTCCTTTCTTGTTTTCAGCCTATGTTCCTGCTGTCTAAAATCGGGACTGGAGCAGTTGTACAGAATCCTTCGTCTGAGTTTTCTGCATGGGGTGGGCTGACAAAATACATGTATTGTAAAACTTGGAGCATTTTTAATAGCTGTACTTTCTTCTGGATTGTGTGTGTGTTTGCCGAGTAGTCCCTTTCTAAAGCTCCTATCCTTAAAGGTGGCCTAAAAGCCATTTCAAACACACACACACAAACCTAATATCACTTATGAAGGCAACCTCCAGCCTTTGCTGCACCACCAAGCTCTGCCAATTCGGCTTTCAAGAGGGTCTTCAATTGTTATAAACCTTATATGCTACCAGGGAAATGCCCTGCCCTTTCCCATTATTGTAAGCAGCTTCCTGGCAAGTAGAGAAATTCTTGATGGGAAAAAGATATTGTTTTTTAAGTAGATTAGAAAATTCTTTTCATACTTTCCTTGGGGAGGGAAGGAGTTTGCTTATACTTAAAGTTGAAGATAATTCAGTTTTCCCCAGAACTACTTTCTTTGCCAGATGGTGCCTTTAAAAGGCTCCAGTTTTGCAGATTTCTTGTCAGTAAACATCTGAGAGAAACATAAATGGTGGCCACTCTACTAGAGTGATTTCAAGATGCCTTTGGTCTGTGATCAGAACATGTGAATCAACTTTTAACAGGCAAATAGGACCGAAATCCAGTTTCATTGAAAAAGCATTTAATCTGCTACCTTGTTTGCCTTTAAGGGCCACTCAGGAACCCAGAAGAATAACCTCCTCCAAGTGGATCCGAACTGTGTTCGTAACTCATACGATGTCTTCTCTTTACTTAGGTAACCTTTTTAAAAATCCTGCAAGGGTGGGTTGTGTCCAGTTAAACTGTCCTGCAGGTGGAATGTTTCCAGCAATAGAATGGGGGTAGTGACTCTATGCAGCGATTTTTTGGTGGGGCTACAGGGTCTGTTGTGCTTCTGCAACTTGAAATTTTGTGCAGTTTGTCCAGCACTGGTAATGGTACAAGGGCTTTCCCAGGTAATGGCCTGAACATAAATGCATTCCCAAGAGGTTTTCCTTCAGACCCACTGTTTTGCTGCTGTGCAGCTACTGCCTTAGCCATAGTTCTGAGCTTCCAATTCTGCATCTTGGAATTCTGCTCTTGAAAGCTTCTTTCAGATTGGGGTGGTTTGTTCCTTGTGTGTTAAACCTTCTAAGGAGTTCTGCTGACTTCAGAGGACATTAGCTGGAAATGGGTTTCCCCTAGCTGTGGAGGGAGACGGTGTCATCTTTATTCACTTGGTATATAAATGTTCTTGTTACTAGTAGCACCAGACCAACTATATTTTTCAAACTGATGTTTTTAACAGTTGCGTGATGAGTAATAGCACCTGTAAGTTGGAGAATGCACCATTCTTTCCTTTTGCTTCCTCTGTGCAACTCTGAAATTCACTATAACTAAAGTTCTATGTGAAACAGAAATACATCTTCAAGAACTTGAGTATATTGCTAGCAATCATCGCTGCTGTTGGTTGCAAGCTTTGCAGATCTTTATGCTCTCTGGAGAAAAATGTTGGGACTGAATCCAGAATGGTATTTAGGTGCATCTAAGTGCATGAGAGAACTCAGTGGAATTCTATAAAAAGATTAGGGATGCGTCTGGTGGGATCAAATTGTTGGTTTATATAACCCGGTATTGCCTTACTCTACACTGGCTAGAAGAGCAGCAATCCAAGAGCTCAGGACTTTATCAATCTTGCTTGTTTCACAGGCAATCACTTAAAATTGGTCATGTTGTCTTTGAGATCCGCTGAGTGAAAGTGCATATTAAAATCTTGTAGAGTCTACAAAACCCTTTGGGAAAAGAGTCACACTTTCTTATCATGTAACCATTCCTCATTGAAGACTTGCGCCATCATCCTTGGCAGTGGGACCTTCTGGTGCTTGTGTCTGAGGATACCAAGTGAAGCGCAAACCTGCAAATCCTTGTCCGCATGACTTTGCTCCTACATTGTATCTGGGGGATATTTGCTCTTTGAATTGAAGAAGTCAAATTGTAAGCTGGGGACAAGTTGCCAAGATCTCCTGCCGATATGTGGCCCGAGCAAGTAAAGAAGGCTCTAAGGATGACAAGATGTAATATTAAACAAAAGGCAGCTATAAAGACAATGGTCCCTATGCATTCCAAAAGCGCATCCTTATCACCTCCAAGAAATGCATGTTTGATAATCAAAGATGTACTTTGTTGGCTTGGGTATTTTTCAGCCTGGTTTGGCCAACTGTAGTATGAGGGTTTTTTTCAGCAGTCTCCAGTCAGGAGCATAAACATTCCCTTCATAAGGTTAAGTTTCCAAAGCATTTTTGGAACAACTTTGCTTTTGCTACCTTTCCAGCGGTAGTTGATCCCTTATTTTATGCATGAAGGGGTTTCCCTGTTTTGTGCTGCCCGATTATTGTCCTGTGCATTCCACTTGGCTTCCCTTCCGGTTTAACTCGGATACCTTGTTCAGTTTTTCAGTTGGCACATGACTAGCTAGTTTTTCAAGATTCCTTTTTGTATTGCGTTGATACGTGGACACCTGTACTGCTGCGTATCAGTGACCTGTACTGGTGCATATGGGGAGGGACAGATGCATTTGACTAGTGCTGCAGACTGTGGACATGTAGACAGTTCTGGAGTAAGGAAACTAAGGTGGAAGAGGGGTAGAGGGCTGCTTCAGAAACAAGGTCAGGGAATTTTGGAACTAGGTGAGGACAGGAACTTGCTGGCTAGCAAAGCGTCTGTGGCTGCAGGGGAGATGAGGGTTACGGTTAGGGACGCACACAAATGGCATAAGGAGAGAAGGAGGGGACGCCACCTCTGCTGCTAATTAAGTTAATTTCGTATAGTGGTTGAAACGCTCTTGATCAGGGCTTCTGGAAGAGGCCTGCTGGAAGCGGTTCACGGAGAGGAGGCGCTGGTGGAGCTGGCCTTTCCACGCAGCTTCCAGAAGAGCCCTGCTCCTCCTCTCCCGTGCACCTGCCTGGTGGAGCAGCTGCTGCCCAGTGGCAACTGGGGGAGAAACCCGGTGGAGCTGCCCTTTGAGCAGGGCGGATGGAAAGGCGTTCGTGGCTTGGGAGCCCCCCCTGTTTCTTCTGACTGGCTGCAGGAATTACGGCTTCTCCTGGGCAGCAAGGGCCAGAGCGCTGGACGTGGTCTGTGTGAATGGATTGATTCCACTAAAGCTTGATGTTGAGTGACCCGTCGGGGGCCATAATAGGAGTTTGGCCCACCCGGCTGTGGAAGCAGCTTTGGATTCAGCTGCCTTGCTGAGCTCCCTAGCCAGCTTGCAAAGATCTTTTTTCAACACTCCTTAAATCTTCTTGAAAGAGTTGCTTGGAGTTAGAAATTCTCTGTGCAGCAGCCCCGCCAGAAGGTGTCAGCCTTGCCTTTCAAGGAAAGAAATGCAGGCAGTGAAAAGATGGTTGAGTGGAGCAGAACAGATGTTAACTGCCTATTTTAACTGCCTTATTCGTGCGCGTGTCCTGCAGCTGCCAGTTTGTCCCTGGATTCTCTAAAACTGCAAGTTGCATTTTCAAATGTATGTGCTTCCGTAATAGTATTTTGAAAGTAATTGTACAATTCTAATTGTACTTAAAAGTAGGCAGAATACTCAGAATTCTTAAATAGCCATTATAGTCATTAAAACTGGTGACTGTTTTCACATCTTGGGGCAATAATTCCTTTCTCTTGATCAAGCATTGTTAAAGTTTTCTTTTATCTGTGTCTTTCCATTGTGAAAAAGAAAATGTCAGTTCAGGAATGGGAAGAGTTTAACTCGGCTTAACTAACAGAATTTTACAGTCAGTGTTACATGTCCTGGCATAATATCGCATAAGCTATTTTGCTTTTTCGAATTAGGGGGAGGTGCAAAATACTATGCTGGGCTACAGGAACTTCCTCTATGCCACTGGCACCTTACGTAGTGTCCCTCTTGACTTTGTACCTGTAGGCTTACCTTTTCAACCTGAAGAGCTGTAAACATTCTTAATAGAAGCTGAGATCTCTGGATGCTGAAGGCTGTGTCTAGTACCAGCCAGCTGTGAAGGCTCCATCATTCTCCTTCTCCTGTTGTTAAGCCTTGAGAAGAGAAGACGGGGGGCGGCGGGGCATGATGTCCCTCTAGAAGTACCTCAAAGGCTGCCACAAAGAGGAAGGTCAAGATCTTTTCCTGCTGATGCCAGAGTGTAGGACACGGAAGAATCAGCTCAAGCTGTGACAACCCAGGTTCAGGCTGGACATCAGGAAAAGCTTCCTCACTGTCAGGGCAATGTGACAGTGGGACCAGCTTCCTGGAGAGGTGGGGGGCTCTCCCACACTAGAGGCATTCAAGGTGGAACTGGGCAGCCCTCTGGGTGGGATGGTGTGACTTGGTGTCCTGCACCAGCAGGGGGTTGGACCCGATGGCCTTCATGGCCCCTTCCAGCTCTATTGCTATTGCTCTATTATGCTGTGATTCTAGGGCAGTATATTGTGGCCATCGTCCCTTATGTTAGTGAACTAGCGGTCTATGAATGGATGCACTGGGAGCTCATGTGGGACAAGGGCCGGGTAATTGTGGTTCTCCACTAATGGCCTTGCAGCCTGAGTGCGTGCAGGCTGAGCCACGCTCCTGCTTGCGTCTGAGCAGACTTCGCACTGGATCGTGCAGAGGTGCAAGCCTTTAGCTGGCCAGGGCTGGAAGCTGGGGTGAAGGCAAGCTCAGGCTTAAAGGGGAGGAGAGAACTGAACTCTGACCTGCTGTGAGGCAGCGTGTGTCGCTTCTCCCTCTGCCCTTTAAGAACCTTTATGCTGTGAACAGGAATGCTTTAGTCCCACTCAAGGCACATCCCCAAGGAAGGGCGCAAACACATCCAGGTTTTTTTCAGCCATGATAAGAAATAGTGGCATCTTCTAGAACGACCTCAGAATTTATTTATTTTTTTGGAATCCTAAGTTCTACCTCTTCACTCTCAAGAGAAACAGTTTTGCCTCTGTGGCAGTGAACAGCTCTGTATGAGCCCACAGAGAGCAGACTCCGAGCTGTTTCCTTCGTGTCTTTTCTTTCTCACTAATAACTCCTGACAGTGCAGCTTTCTGCTGAGGTTTTGAAGGGTGACCAGCCCCTGGACATTTAGAAGGGGATTAGATCAGGAATTTTAACAGCTGGCAAGTGAGTGTGGAATTGTAGCCTGGGGCCGTAGACAAACCTGTATGAACTATGCACTTATCGGGAGAGAGTGAAGCCTGTAGGAAGATGGCTTAGTTTTTCATGGAGCCTTAATGAGAACAATATTTTCAGGTAATACCTGAAACAATGAACTCTGACATTTAAAAATAAGCCTTTTTCACAACTCAGTTTTGGAACACGACTTTTTAATTATTTTTCTATATCACCTTGAATCCTTTGGAATCGGTCGCTTTGTGTAGCATAACTGAACTTTTTGTTTGGCTGAGACGTGCTCTGCCTTGTGCCTTGCCTCAGTGGTGCAGAGTGGTGTCTTGCATAACTGGACTCTTGAGAACTGCATAGGCAGCCTTTTTAAGGCCTGAAACACACATGATAAATGTGGTTTGCTGCCCCCAAAAGCCACCCATGTTGAGCTTCTCTCTCCTCTTGATTATAGCATGATTATAACCCTTGATTATAACATGTAACACAGCTTGTCCCCTGAGACCATTATTGGGAATGCTTTCCCAGCCTCTACCAGCCATGTTTTCCTTTGACGTGTGATTTGGGTACCACCTTCCTAACAGAGTGAGCAAAATTGGTGCCAATGCCACCATCTTGTCCTGTTGCAAAGAGTACATAGAAACATA